TCAGAAATCCTTTAACCTCAGTCCTGTGGAGCATGCTTTTTTGGCATTTAAGCAGTTTATGGTATACCGTAGAGCATTGCTTGGGAGACATAAAGAACAACTGTTTCTGTTTAACCGTGTGAGCCTGCTGAGTGTTTTACAACTTTTTTTCTTAGCACAAATGAATCCACTGAGGACAAAGCACAAATATTTGATCTACACATACACAGTACAATTAAAACGGCATGCTTGCTTGAGTCTCTCTGTATAAGCTCCATTTGTGGAAAAACTTCTTCTGATTTTGGTATCTAGAACTTTCCATTAGGAATTGTCTGAGAGCCAGTGTTCAGGATTCAGATCCCTACTCATCTATGAAGCTCACTGGATGACCTTGGGCCGGGCAAGATAAAGTACTTCACAGGATTGTTGTTAAAAATAAAATGGGGAAAGGGGAATCATTTACATCATTCTTTGTTCCTTGAAAAAAGGGAAGGATAAAAGCATCTCTCTATAAATATAAAAGCCAGTTGGGGTGGCAAAGTTCTATGCCCGGCAAATTCAGTTGGCTCCCTGATATGTCACTCAGAACCTGTCCTATCCACTAGCTGCGTTGCCTGAGTTCTCTCCCACCCACTGCAGCCTAGGCCACTCTTCTCTGATTGGGCCAGCATTTCAAGGTAATTTGCATATGGAAGCTGATTGGACTTCATTCCACACCTCAAACCCCCCCCCCCCCCGCAAGACAGTTGGAACTGTCAGTTGCTTATGTGACCTGGTGTATTCTGAGGTAAAATATGTCCTCACTCACAACACTTTTCCTTCAAAAGAAACAAACCCAATAACACAACCATGCCACACCACAAAAAAGACAGATCACACCACAAGCAGAATACCACAATGCAAAAAAAGCTCTGGTATTAATTCAAAGTGCTGGGGATGAGTTGCGTTCTGGCAGGTGACGCTGTGAGTGTAGAAAATGATTTATTGACAGAGTTGTGTTTTGGAAAATCTTCAGGAATTGTTTGGTGCAGGGGCACCCACCCAGAGTCTCTAGCATTTTCTCACTCTGCTGGCATCAAAACCAATTTAAGGCAAAATAGAGATATGGAGACTTTTCCGTCCTCCTTTGCATCAATTTGTCTTTGCTGACAACCCTAGGCCTGCCAGCACTCTCAGGATGACTTCATGCCTCCTGACTGGCATGGCATCACTAGCCCTGGCTGCTTGCATCACTAGCCCTGGTTGCTCAGCAGGAGCATCCCTATGGAAGCTGCCTGGGTGATTTCGGACCAGCCACAGACTTTCTGCCTAACCTACCTTACAGGGTTGCTGTACAAGCTAAAGAGAATGAAGTAAGCTGCTTTGCTCCCCGCTAATGAGAAAGACAGAATTTTGCCTACGAAGAGGCTGCTGAGAGGGGAGGAGATAAAGTTGCCAACTTTAGGTATGGAAATTCCTGGAGATTTGAGGGGTGGAGCCCGGGGAGGTTGAGGTTTGAGGAGTGGTGTTACCTCAGACAGGTACAGTGCCATAGACTCCACCCTTCAAACCAGCCATTTCCTCCTGGAGAACTATTGTTGCCAATCTTGGCCCAGCAGCCATCAAACCATTCTCTTCAACCCCTTCTGTTGTGCAGCTGACTTTCCCCTAGAGTTGCCAATCTCCAGGTGGGACCTGGAGAACTCCCACTGTTACAATTGATCTCCAGATGACAGAGATCAGTTCCCGTGGAGAAAATTGCTGCTTTGGAGTATGGCATTATACCCTGCTGAGTCCTTCCACCCCCCCCCCCCCCCCACTGTCCACCCCCCCCGTTCCATCCTGGGGAACCATTGTTGCCAATCTCCAGGTGGGGGCTGGCGATCAATCAGAATTACAACTGCTTTCCAGGAGGGAGGGGGAAGGAGATGGAAAGCTGAAGTCAGGGGGCAGATAACAGTAGGATGACAATTGGCTGGGAGGAATATAGGGTTGCCAACTCCAGGTTTGGAAATTCCTGGAGATTTGAGGGGTGGAGCCTGGAGATGGTGAGGTTTGAGGAGGGGTGGGATCTCAGACAGGTACAATGCCATAGACTCTACCCTCCAAACCAGCCAGTCCCTCATGGGTAACCATTGTTACCAATCTCCAGGTGAGGGCTGGAGACCACTCAGAATTACAACTGCTATGCAGGAGGGAGGGTAGAAGTCAGCTGAAGTCAGAGGGGCAGATAACAGTAGGTTGATGGTTAGCTGGGAAGGAGATGGGGTTGCCAACTCCAGGTTGGCAAATTTCTGGGGATTTGAGGGGTGGAGCCTGGAGAGGGTGGGGTTTGAGGAGGGGTTGGATCTCAGACAGGTAGAATGCCATAGACTCCACCCTCCAAACCAGCCATTTCGTCCTGGGTAACAATTGTTGCCAATCTCCAGATGAGGGCTAGAGATCACTCAAAATTACAACTGCTGTTCAGGTAGCAGAGATCAGTTCCTCTGGAGAAAACGGTGGACTCTGTCATTATATGCTGCTGAGGTAGCCGCAGCAAATTCACACTGTGTGCCCAAAGCTGGGGCACTCTCCCAGAGCCTCTTTCTAGAGCTCGTGGTATTTATTTCCACAACAGGCCTTATTCATAGTAATAAATAAATGAGACTTTGGTTCTGACTGTCTGATGTCTGTGTATGTTAAATTAAACCTAGTTTTGGGGTGTGGTAAACAGGTGGGATGGATGCTCTATGCAGGCTTACCCCTGAAGCTGATCTGAAAATTATTTATTTATTTGATTTATATACCGCCCTCTCTAGATGGGCTGAAATTACAGCTGGTGCAAAATACAGCGGCGTGCCTGCTGACATTGACACCTGTGCGGGCATACGTTCAGCATGTGCTTCGTCAGCTGTACTGGTTACCAGTTGAGTACCAGATCCGCTTCAAGGTGTTGGTAATAACCTTCAAAGCCTTATATGGCCTGGGACCAACATACCTAAGGGACCGCCTCTTCCTGTATATGCCTGAAGAGCGCTATGCTCTGACAGTCAACATCTCCTGGTGATCCCTGGCCCAAAGGATGTCCGCCTAGCCTCGACCAGGGCCAGGGCTTTTTCTGCCCTGGTCCCTAGCTGGTGGAATATGCTCCCTATTGAGATCAGGGCCCTGTGGGATCTTACCCAATTCTGCAGAGCCTACAAGATGGAGCTGTTCCGCCAGGCCTTTGGCTGAGGCAGTGGGCGACCACACATGGCCTCCCTGAGGTTACTGTCACCCACCCACTGATAACTGGCCAGATCCAGTGACATTAATGGGCCGGAATCTCCCAACAGCAAGCTGCAACTACTGTTTTTATATGTATATGTATAATCTGTTTTAAATGTTATTGTATTTATTAACATGTAACCCACCCTGAGCCCATTTATGGGATGGGTGGGATATAAATGCGATAAATAAATAAATGAAAAACTAGAGAATCAGACAATATTATGACTAAAAACATGGTACACAGCTGAAAGAGTAGATTAATAGTGGGATGTTTGGTGCATTGCTTTCCCGTCTTCCCCCCAGACGTCCAAGTTAGTGAGTGATGGTACATGAAGCATGTGTCTTTGTTAGTCAGTAGTTTCTCGACAGTGAATCAAGTGGTCCCTTTTTTGAGGTTAACAATCAGTGTGAACTAACAGAGTTTGTAAGGGTTAGAGAATAAATCAATATAATCTGCTAAATGACTAAAGAGGAGCATCTTATATCTTCAAGCCATCGGTTATCATTTACTTTGATGCAAAGCAGGCCAGCTCTTGTGTGTATCGTTGCAAACCATATTATTGGATCCATTCCTGTTAGATTCTCACAAGAAGCCAAAGAAAAAGGCTTCTCGGCTCCACAGATAGGGAGTCAGAACAGAATGTTCAGTTCAGGATGTCTGCTCTCGCTTCCACGCGTCACGCACATGACTCCCATTAATGGGGGTAGTATGGCTGTGTATCTGGAATATTTCTTTTTAAAAATTTACATCGCTAGTTTTCACGTCCTTAGCCTGTAACCTTGTTGAATCAGGTCCCAGTGAGTTCAGGTGAAAATTTCAAAGTGTGTGCCCATTAGCTATAGTTCATCTTCTGCTGCATTCTTTATACAAGACAGTTTTAAAAGTTTTCCTGAATTCTAGGCACTCTTTCATTTGCTCCAGTGTGATGAACGGCACATGTTAAGAGGGGTATTAGAGACAGCAGGCACAGCAAATAATTATGTGACATAAATGTAATTAAGTAACATACTGCAGCAAACCTAATCATATGATAGAGTAAGTTTGAATTGATGACTGTTAGGGTTTATACAAACAATCTTCTGGCAAATCACCATGACCTGTAACCCTTGTTTTGATGCATACAAATATCCTCCCTTCACATAATGCTTATGTTACTGGGAAAACCATTCAAGCAAGGTCATAATTGCCAGCAACCCCCTAATTTTCTCTTTGCTCACATTATTTATTTTACTTTATTTTTTAAATTTCTGTTCTCCCTCTAAAAAGCCTTCAAGATGCTATCACTGCTGTAGTATGGAAAGTGACTGTGTATTTGTGGCAGATGCATAATGGCTAATGCCCATTACATTAATTACAAAGAGAACACGTCCTTCCTGCACATTTTAATAGGGTTTCAAAGGTTTCAGTTTTCCTTTGTTCTTCCACATAATTGCTTAAGTAGTCCTTTAAAGGGGCTACTGAATACAGTACACAGCTAGCTCATCTCCCATGGCATTCTTTCCTCCTCTAGGTGGGGTGATTTGGACAGCATCTTGTAGACCTGTGCAACGTGCACGCACACTCATACAGACTAATTCTCTGAAGGCTGTGATGAAAGATAAATGGGGTTTCCTCCAAAACATTTTTGTTTACACACTTGCTCAGGTTTAATCATTTCTGACTGGATTTTCTAATAATATATTACAGACTCTGCATAAGGATGCTGATGTATATAAGATTCTGCTGAAGCAAGTAGCATTAATCTCTCTCTCTCTCTCTCTCTCTCTCTCTCTCTCTCTCTCTCAAACAGATAAATCTCCTTCTAGCTCGAAACCTCCTGAACAACGTAAGTTGCACATGCCTGCTTATTCAGAAAGAATACAGCAGAAAAGTGTTGGACTAATAACACCCTAAATCTTTGAATCTGGAGGCCATTTTTAAACCTATTTTCAGTAGTGGTGTGCTCATATGTTGCGGGGGGAGGGGGGGCCTGTGCATAAGAATGGAAGAACAAGTAATTTTTATGGAATACCGCATTTCTGCAGAAGGCTGGTATGGGTCAATGGCGAGAGGATTGGGGGTGCTCTCATTTGACTTGTTCTTCAGCCATGGGGTTCACTAGGTACAGCCCCGTAGCTAGGGAATTCTTTGGGAGGGGGCCTTGGGGGGGCCCGCCAGCTAATTAAATGGAAGTACAGTGCAGGTGGTAAGTTGGAGCACTTTGGGGGCAGCCCCGGAGGGAGGGGGCCCAGAAGAAACACAAGGGGGCCGGGCCCCGTGGGCCCCGTGTTAGCTACGGTCCTGGCTAGGTATGTTCGGCAAGACACTTCTCTCTCAGGTGGAGTCACCTCGTGGAGATAGTTTGAGGCTAATAGCCTGACTACACATAACATGAAGATGTATGAAACCAAATCCAGCCCTTCCCCCCCTCCCCTCAGCCAAGAAATCACTCTCGGAGAGAGAAGTTTGGAGTGCAGAAGCAACTGCTAGTGCTGAAGCTCATCTGTGAATTGCCCCGTCTAAGATGAATTGCCCTCTCTAAGAGTAGCTTTTTCGGGAGGAAAGGGGAAGAATGCTGTTAGAGTTCAGTTACGTGTGTGTGTGTGTGTGTGTGTGTGTGTGTGTGTGTGTGTGTGTGTGTGTGTCTGTTTGGGAGACTTATATGCCACTACTCCAGTGAATTGCTCAAGACTGCTAACAGTAAGATCATAAAAACAGCAAAAACAACTATCAAGAATAAACTAGCAATGAACCCACAAAGGACAGAAGCATAATGCAGGACAACATAAAAATGGCATTAAAAGACATAAAACAGTTCAGCAGTGAGCATAAAACAGACCTCATGGTGACACTCTGAACTCTTTGGGGAAAGGATAGGATACAAATGAAACAAACAAAATTCTACAGGGTCACAGAAAGCCCTGGAGGTCCTGGGTTAAAGCCCCTAAGACGTAAAGTTTTATATCCCAGTTGTAAATCTGGAGACAAAGGAATATAAAGTATCTGTGGAAACAGAATTTGCTTGCTGACAGCTTTGGAAGCAAGGAGGGATAGTAGGCACTCCTACCTCGAAGTAGCTATGTAAGAAAACTAGTTGCAGCTAAGAGCTTTATAAAGTTTGTGATTTCTTTATCTGCTTTGCATGTAGCTAGATATTTTGCTAGTTGAGCCCATTGCCTGAATCCCGATACGTCTTACATATAAACCTGAGTCTTTAAAAAAAGACTAAGTCATGCAGTTAGGAACACATCCATATACAAAAGAAGAAAAAGATCAAAATAACTACAGCCGACCTGTGAGCACTTAGAACAATGCCTTCACGAACCAGATGCACTGTCATACAAATTGCCCTGCTTCTCCCATTGATAGCTGGTTTCTTTTTTCTAGCCTGGAATTAATTTTCCTGATTAAAACCATTTCCAACTGCGAAAAACAATTGTTTCTATTTCTGCCTCTGCTGACTTTCAAGTTGGCATCATCTCCCAGTGAAAAGCCTTTCCACTCCCTGCCTAACTAGCTAGAGATGGAAAAGAAGCTGGGGAGGGTGGAGCAAAGTTGGCAGGGCACTTATTTAACTTATTTGAATTTTCTTCCTACCCTGTCCTATCCTGAAGGCATATATTTTTGAGAATCACATGAATTTAAAAATAAGCCTACTAAAAGAAAAGAAAAAGATGTATAAACTTTGGGTTTAAAGGAAAAAATAAAATAAAACAAGCAACAACTAACAGGAAACCTGGCAGACCTAAAACTTGAGTTGGTTGCTGTTGTGAGCAGTTTTCAAACCAGTGATACTCAGTGGCCTGGGAGCCACATGTGGCTCTTTGACAGACTACCTGTGGCTCTTCCCTAATGTGGCCCCTGCTCAATGTGTCAGGAAGGTGAGCAAGGCCCTTTCCCAGTGGGGCTTGTGGTCGGCAGGTGGTCAGGGAGCCACATGTGGCTCTTTGACAGACTACCTGTGGCTCTTCACTCATGTGGCTTCCGCTCAATGTGTCAGGAAGGTGGGCAAAGCCCTTTCCCAGTGGGGCTTGTGGTCGGCAGGTGGTCAGGGAGCCACATGTGGCTCTTTGACAGACTACCTGTGGCTCTTCACTCATGTGGCTTCCGCTCAATGTGTCAGGAAGGTGGGCAAAGCCCTTTCCCAGTGGGGCTTGTGGTCGGCAGGTGGTCAGGGAGCCACATGTGGCTCTTTGACAGACTACCTGTGGCTCTTCACTCATGTGGCTTCCGCTCAATGTGTCAGGAAGGTGGGCAAAGCCCTTTCCCAGTGGGGCTTGTGGTCGGCAGGTGGTTCCTGCCTTGAAACAGCTGCCACCAGAGGAATAGATAAGCTGCGAGCCTCATAACAGTGATGGAAGTAAATATGGCTCTTTTTGATGACAACTGTGGATGCAGCTCTCTGTGAGCCACTGAATGACTACCACTGTTTTACATTGTATTTTGCCATGATGCTTTCAGGGCTCTCTTTGTAGCAGGAACTCATTTGCATATTAGGCCACACACCCCCTAATGTAGCCAATCCTCCAAGAGCTTACAGAGCTCTTCTTACAGGGGCTTATGTAAGCTCTTGGAGGATTGGCTACATTAGGGTGTGTGTCACCTAATATGCAAAAGAGTTCCTGCTACAAAAAGAGCCCTGCCTGAGGAATATTCACCACAGTCACACTGCCAGATTAAACATATTCGTGGTAAGCATTGTGGTTAAAATTGTGGCCAGAAATGTTGATAATGGACCTATTATCTGCAGATATAGTGCGCTGCCCTGGCAGCTGGTTTGGAGTGGTAGACAAGCCCTTCCACTCCTCGGTAGCGTTGCCAGCCTTCAGATGGCACCTGGAGATCTGGAAATACAACTGATCTCCAGGCAACAGAGATCAGTTCCCCTGGAGCAAATGGCTGCTTTAGAAGGTGGACTCTGTGGCATTAAACTGTGCTGAGGTCCCTCGCCTCCCCGAAATCCATCCATCCAAGGCTCCACCCTCCAAAGCTCCAGGAACTTACCACCCCAGAGCTGGCAACCCTACTTCTCAAGGTGGTGTGCTAGGATGGGCATAGATTCCCCCACAATTATTTCTGATACTTGCTGGTATTAACTTGGGCCACTGGAAGTCACCCTAGCCCTAAAGAAAGATTAGTGCTAGGCCTTTTTCATGCCAGGTAGGCCCAACCAAATATCCTGTGACAATAATCACGTGACTTACTTGGCTCCCAGGGTAAGCCTGGACTCCAGAATTTGTACCTCTTGTCTCCCCCCACTCTCCCATAGCAGCCTCATTGGCCTTTTCATCTCTCCTGAATACCTCTCTCTCTCCCCCTTTCAGGCTTTAGGAGGGCAGAGGTGTGAGCACACTGGCATGAATGGGAAGGAAGGAGAAAGAGAGAGAGAATCTATTTTTTTAAAGAGAAGAGGAAGATGTCTTAGTCTTTCTAGACAGTGGGCCATAATGGACCTCCTTCAGGGAGCTGGCACTGGCCTTGATGGGCTTCCAATTGCTTATGAAATTGAACAAAAGAAATAACAACTTTCTGAAATTACAATTCTGCATTCCAATTCTGACTTTTTAATTTCAATTTTTCTCAATTTCATAGCTGGCTTCTATGGTCTGGACACTCTGACGGTTGTGGGCATTGCCTTTGCAGCCTTTGTGATTGGCGCACTGCTGACAGGAGCATTATGGTTCATCTATTCTCACACAGGTGAGTGTGGTCACTTTTTGCCAGCTGGCACAGCACTTGCATAGTTCTGGTATCTGAAGAATCCAAAACCCACTCATGGATTACCATAACCTGTTATCATAACCTACACTACGAATGCGCAGAAGCAATTTTCTTTAACAGTAGTAGAAATTGACTCCCCAAAAAGTTTATGTAGGATCATAACTAGAGGACGAAGAAGAGGAAGAGATTGGATTTATACCCTGCCCTTCACTCAGAGTCTCAGAGCAGCTTACAAACTCTGTTCCCTTCCCCTTCCCAGAACAGACAGGGCTGAGAGAGCTCTTTCCAGAACTGTCCTTGAGAGAACAGCTCTGACAGAACTATGGCTTGCACAAGGCCATCCAGCAGCTGCAAGTGGAGGAGTGAGGAATCAAACCCAGTTCTCCCAGATTAGAGCCTGTGCACTTAACCACTACACCAAACTGGCTCTAAATAAGTGCCTAAATGAGTTCTACTTCCCCTCACAATGCAGTTAGAGCGAATTCATGGCTACAAGAGGCCAAAAAAATTGTGTGTATTTTATTAATGAAATAGAGTTAGGAACAAGTGTCAACTGGTAAGTAGGGTTGTCATTAAAATTCAGCCACCTTGTAAACTATTCTTTAGACAGACAAGATATAAATACAGAGAAACAAAGTTGGTACATTCATGTTCTGTCATTATACATTCTCTGAAATTCCAAGGCTGCATTCAGACATGACGACAAACTGCAATCAGACATGAACATAACTTGTTGATGTCCTTATGCATATCCCTTGCTTCACATGTAAAGCTTGATTTTTAAAAAGAAAACTTCTTGGTGGTTATCAAATCTAGTTCGCTGTGCTGCCCAACTGTTGTGAGCTACTCCATGTGTTTCCCAAATCCACTCTAGTTTGGTCTCAAGATGCAATCAAGTTTGGAAAAGTCTGGGGACAGTTGCCTTAAAATCTGTAGCTCTTAAAGCAACAGGTAAATCTTTTACAGACAGGCAGAGTGGGAGGTCTTTCCTGAGCATTCATCATGATTGGATCAGGAGAGGCAATGTGGAAAGTCCCTTCTCCTTCATCACAGTGGATTGGACTGTGGTGTTCTAATTGACTTGTCCTAATGACCACTAATTCACTATTGAGCTTCGGAGGCCTTTCCTGTCACAGGATAGGCATACATGATTCTGAACCTTCTTGTCCCATTTCCCTGGGCACTACACAATATGGAACAGCCCCAACTGAGAAGCCTTGAATCAAATGCCAGTTTACCATGAATTTGGAATGCAGCCACCTGAGCAAAGAGAACATAAGAGAAGACAATGTTGGATCAGTCCAACACTCTGTCACACAGTGGCCAAAAATACCAGGTGCCATCAGGAGGTCCACCAGTGGGGCCAGGACATTAGAAGCCCTCCAACTGTTGACACCCCCCCCCCAAGCACCAAGAATACAGAGCATCACTTGCCCCAGACTGAGAGTTCCTATCTATTCCTTGTGGCGGACCTCTGCTCCATATGTTTATCTAATTCCCTCTCGAAGCTGTCCATGCTTGTAGCCGCTGCCATCTTTTGTGGCAGTGAATTCCATGTGTTAATCACTCTTTGGGTGAAGAAGTACTTCCTTTTATCTGTTCTAACCTTACTGCTCGGCAATTTCATTGAGTGCCCACGAGTTCTTGTATTGTGAGAAAGGGAGAAAAGTACTTCTTTCTCTACCTGCTCTTTCCCATGCATAATCTTATAAACCTCGATCATGTCACCCCTCAGCTGTCATTTCTCCAAGCTAAAGAGCCCCAAGCGCTTTAACCTTTCTTCATAGGGAAAGTGTTCCAACCCTTTTATCATTCTAGTTGTCCTTTTCTGCACTTTTTCCAGTGCTATAATATCCTTTTTGAGGTGTGGTGACCAGAACCATACACAGTATTCCAAATGAGGTTGCACCATCGATTTATACAGGGGCATTATGATATTGGCTGATTTGTTTTCAATTCCCTTCCTAATAATCCCCAGCATAGCATTGGCCTTTTTTATTGCAGTCGCACACTGTGTCAACATTTTCAGTGAGTTATGCTACGACTCCAAGATCTCTCTCTTGGTCAGTCTCTGCCAGTTCAGACCCCATCAACGCGTATTTATAGTTAGGATTTTTGGCTCCAATGTGCATCACTTTGCACTTGGCCACATTGAACCCCTTTTGCCACGTTGACACCCACTTGCCCATCCTCGACAGATCCCTTTGGAGTGCCTCACAATCCTCCCTGGTTCTCACCACCGTGTACAACTTCGTATCATCCGCAAATTTAGCCACTTCACTGCTTACTCCCATCTCCAAATCATTAATGAACAAGTTAAAAAGCATTGGACCAAGTACTGATCCCTGCGGTACCCCACTGCTTACCACCTTCCACTGAGAAAATTGCCCATTTATACTCATTCTCTGTTTCCCATTAATTAGCCAGTTTTAGATCCACAAAAGGACTTGTCCTTTTATCCCGTGACTATTGAGTTTACTTAGGAGCCTTTGAAGAGGAACTTTATCAAAAGCTTTCTGGAAGTCAAGGTAAACAACATCTATTGGGTCCCCCTTGTCCACTTGTTTGTTCACTCCCTCAAAGAACATTAACAGGTTAGTGAGACAAGATCTTCCCTTACAGAACCCATGCTGAGTTTGCCTCAATAGTTTTTGTTCATGCAAGGCATATTTCCTTCCTGCAAGGCAGGATTATAAACTGGGATTGAACCGAGGTTTGAGTTCTTGACTTGTAGGGAAGAAACTAGCTTCATTTTCCTCAGACAGCTGCATTCAGATTTCATGGCAAATTGGAGTTTGATTCAGGTCTTCTCAAATATGGGAGCCTTTAATCATGCTCCGTGTTCTGTGGGTGGGGAGAGTAAAGGACATGCACGAGCACAGTCGCAAGGTGTGTTCATCCCCATCATGCTGGGGATGTGATGTCTGAGTACAGTCAGGTGTTGCAAAAATCTCATCATTATGGTAACAGGAAGGAAAGATGTATATTCAGTTCAGTTCAGTTGACCTTTATTGGCATAAAATACCTTAAAAAGGATTACTATAAATAAAGATGTATATTGCAAGGAGCTCAGGGAAGTGCATTGCATTTCTGTGTACAATTGATACACTGAATGCCCATCCAAATCCATGACACTGGGCAGAGAATGGGTTTGCCTTCATGGGCAGGGCTGCTTTAGGAATGAACTATTCAGTTACATGGGAAGTTAGTATAGGGCATCATTAGGATGGGGCTAAACCTGCCTGCTGTCCCTGGGGATCTTGGCCATTAAGCATCACAGGTCTTCATGCCCTGCCTGACCCTGGGTTCTGTTTCTTTGTCACGCTAGGGCATGACGGGATGTTGGAAACTAGCCTTTACACAGAGAGGGTTTTTAAAATTTGTATTCTAGGTATTCTTTCTTTAGTTAATGCATCGTTTGTACATTTTATGAAATCGTGTCTCTGTTTTAGAAGAAGTCAGAGCTTTACTCATACTACTCAGGAACTAAGTAAAGGAAATTCTTTTTTTTGTGTGTGTGTGTGTGTACATGAATAGATCGTGCAAGTGTAAATGGCCAAGAACACCTTTATAAGTTATTAGTCCCAAAGTCAAAGCAAGCAGTTTAAAACCCACGCATAGCACACACATATGTCATCTGACCCTGTTAAGAAAGTCTGAAGATTTTGTTCCCGTCTTTGCGCCATGCTTCCCCCCACCTTCCCCCAAAAAACAACTCTGGAAGTACACAGGACTTTGTTTAATGGGAGCTGATTGAAATATACTGACAAAGCAACAAATTATATTTGGCAAATGGGGACAGCAAAGCAAATAGTCAGACTTCCTGGACAGGGAGCAGCACTGGCAGTTTTCCTAAGTGTGAATAATAAAGTACATGTTGTTGCACTCAGATGGGTTAAAGCTTGTTTATAGCCTATGGATGGGACATAGTCATTTTGTAAAATTGCCATACTAGTCTGAGACACAGGAAGAGTGTTGTTGAGCTGGGAGATCACTGGTGGGAGCCAGTGTGGTGTAATGGTCACAATGCCAGGCCGGGACTGCAGAGGCTAGGACTGTTCAGATCCCCAGTTTTCCAATCAGTCGCTCTCTTACACCCTCACCTACCTCACAGGGTTGTTTTGAAGAGAAAAGAGAGGAGGGGAGGAGGAGTTTTAAGGGAGGAGTTGTGGGTGAGTGATAGGCAGGGGTGGTCTTAGTGATTCTGAAGCCCTGGGGGAAAATCCAGGATAGGCCCCCGGAATCACTGCCACCACCCTTAGCCCTCACCAGCCCCCTGCCACAACTACCCCTTGCCATCAGGGTCCAAGCAAGGAGTAACCCTCGCCTCATGTGGCACAGGTGGGAGCCACTGCTGCCACCAAAATCCAGCTGTCCCCCCCCCACATTAGGGTATGAGGTTGTGGGCAATCTCCACCCCAGCATGGGCCCTGGGGCAGCTGCCTAGTGACTTCAGGAAAGTCTGTAGTAGAGGTAGCTATCAGGTCCCCTCTGGACCTTGTGATTGGTTAGCAGGGGATTTTGGGGGGGAAATTTATACCAGTAGAGTAGTAGAAGGAGGTGCCTGTGAAGAAGGGATAAAAGGCCTCACCCAAAGTGGTAGGTGGTGCACTCCTAGAGAACAGAGCTGAGGAGAGGCTGCTGCAAATGGAGGGATCCCTCATTCAGAAGAGGTGAGTCAGCTTGAAACCAGTCACCCAGAGAAAACTAGTAACTGTCTTAGACGCCTTAGGGATATTTTGTTTGTGTACCTTCTTTTACTGTTCTCTTTATCAGACATAGTACTTGAATTACGATCGTTATTATTATTTGTTACTCTGCCTCACACCTCATTCGGTCACTTGTAGGGTGGAACCTGTTGGAAAAGGAGGGGATAAAGGGGTTGGATGAGTGCTCTGAGCCCTCCTAAGGAGACCCATAGCAGAGTGGTGGCAGCCATTAGAGAGCTTTTCTAGCTGCTGCCCGCGACACTCCCCTTGGTGACAGAGCATCTGCTTGGCATGTTGAAATTCCCAGGTTCTTTCCCTGGTAAGTCCAGTTAAAAGAATCAGGTAGTAGGTGACAGGAAGGACCTCTATCTGCGACCCTGGAGAGCTGCTATCTATCAGAATAGACAATACTGATACAGCATAAGGTAGCTTCATGTGTTTGCATGTATGCTTCTTGGAGAAGAGATGAAATACACATGTGATATAGATGGACAAATTGAAATTGCAGCTCTGCCACACCTTTGTTGGGTTGCCTTGGGCAAGTTACCCTCTTTAAGGTTGAGCTTCTCATCTCTACAGTTGATGCTGACGTGAACAAGATCTGTTGCCTACCACCAGCCTGAGGGACAGAAAAGGCTAGAAGTCACAATTATGTAGTGTTGAGACACCCAGAGGATGCCATTTTCCCTAAAGTCAAAATGGTATTTAACTATCCAGAGGTAGAGCAAAATGTATCCAAAGCATATTTGTTATGCTGTGTGTCTGAAGCATTCCAAGGTGTAATTAATAGTCATTCCAAATGGAAGAGTCTGGAGGTGCAGGAAACACAATCCATGCAGGGATCGTGATGAGAACTGTGCTGATCACGGGAGTAAGAGGGATCACTACAGGATGGCCTTACAAAAGGGAAAGGTAAACAGGAAGGACTGGCCAATTAGGGCTAAGGGAAGAGTCCCAGTGGGCCAACGGCCCAGGGGACCTCCCCCTCACATGGGGGCCATAAACAGGGCCACCCCAGCCCAAAGAGGGGCAGGAGAAAGCTGGAGATGTGGGGAGGCAGGGCTTGCAGCAGCACAGGATGTGATGCACCTGTCGGGACTGGCCTCTCTGCAGTGAGGGACAGCCCCCCCCAGCCTCACCCTGCCCTGCAGCCCAGCTTGGCCAGGCATCTTCTGCTTAGGGATGACCAGGCAAGTGCTCCCTCACTCCTTTTGGGGAGGGCTGGGGGCTAGAGGAGGGGCCAAGCTGGGTTTGGGGTGGGCTCCTTTCCAGGGCCATTTCTCCCCCCCTATCTGCCCCTGACCAAAAGAGTCATAACAAGCGACTCTCTCCTCCTGAGAAGCTTCAGCAACATTGACAAGAGATGCTGTCATAAAGAAGAAGAGCTGGATTTATACCCCGCCCTTCACTTGGAGTCTGAGAGCGGCTTACGATCCTATTCCCTTCCTCTCCCCTGTGAGGTAGATGGGGTTGAGAGAGCACCGAGAGAACTGTGACTGACCCAAGGTTACTCAGCTGGCTGCATGTGCAGGAGTGGGGAATCAAACCCAGTCCTCCAGATTAGAGTCCACCATTCTTAACCACTACACCAAACTGGCTTCAAGCTGTGAGGGCTTACAATATAACAAAATTGTAAACTTTCCCTTGAGAGAGAGCCTTCCCCCAGATGCCTCATTTTCCTAGGTACAGCAATAAGGAAATGGCGCTCTCACTGCAGTCTTAGAACCACTGTGACTTCAGCGGCCAGGCAGAGAAATCAGATCTCTCCTGTTCGCACAGTTTCCAGTGTCAAGCTCTGAATGGCAAGTGTGGGCTATGAGAGGAGGCAAGTTGCTATGGGAAAGAGAGGCCGAGCTATCTGGGACCAAGGAAAGGAAATGAGGGCTGTCTCCCCGCTGCCCCACTGGCCACAGTTCCATACTGGTTCCCAGCATTTGCTGGGCAACTTGCTCATCCACCTATATTTCCCACCCCCTTGAAGTACTTCTAATGGAAGCTGAGTGAGTGCTTATTGGAGGACATAGCAAATACTGCTTGTTCCACTCAAACAGAAAGCAGCCAACATTTTTTTCTTGGAGGAGGAGGAGAGTGCAGGAGAAAAAATTAAACTCCAGCAGAGTTCTGTGCCACTGAGACAAAGGGGCATAACCCTGTACTTGAAAGGAAAAAAATGCATCTGTGGAAAGTTGTCCAGAAAGAGAGGAAGGGGGAGAAGGGAAAAAACAAACACCCAAGACAGCATGTTTTTGGCATTAGAACTGTGACAGCTGTGTGTGCCGTTTTCCCTAAAGACAAAAAGGTATTCATCTATACAAAGTTAGATCAAAATGTATACAGATCATAGTTGATATGCTGAGGTTGCTGAGCGGCTCCGAGTAAAAGCGTGGTTTATAAAATGGGTGACAGCATAGCTGTAATAAGACCCAGCAGCAGGGAATATGGGCCAGTTCTACATTTTGCAGATCTGCTTTCCTGGAAGAGGGTTTGAGAGGCCCTATTAGGGGAATGGAAGCAACTGCAGTTTCTGCGTTAATATGGCCCTCTCCTCCCCCCACACATACCCGTGAATGTTCCCAGTGGGGGCAGGCTGCTTATATCAACTTCATAAAGATGGTTTTAGAAGGACAGGAAAGGAGATTTGTGTACAAATAACTTTGGGACAAAAGAAGAAACCAGATAACATTAGTGATGCATTTGCAATGAATCCTTTTTTAATAGTGACTTAAACCATTTAGTTCTGTTTCAGGTTATTTCTACTTTGTAAAATATCACAGCACATTTTGCTGAAAAATGATTGTGACAGATTCTGATCTGTGCTATAGAAAACGTGAAAGTGTTTATACAACTATAAAGAATAATACAAGTTACAGTTTTAAAGAGAATATACATATTTAACAATATTGAAATGTTTCTTGGTAATCTGTGTTCTTCCTAAAATCTAAGTAGTCTGTTTCCTAGTTCCACAACAGGTGATCCATAGGCAACCTTTGGTCCACCAACACTCTCCAGGTGAACTGATGAGTTTCTGCCCCTCCCCCTCCCTCCTCAGTGCTCTGCTGTAATTGCTCTGCATTCTCTTCTGCCCCCAGAAGCCCTTGTGTCAGTCCTTAATGTCTTGTGTAAGTCAATATGTAAGGAGTGCCATTGTGTAATACGCATTTATACCATAGTTGCCACTGATGTATTCCAGGGTTTCTTCCGCATGACTCTTACCCAAAGCAGGGAACCTATTCTGGCTTTCCTCCACCTTGCTGGAGTAAAGACTTCAGGATGCATGCATCACCTTTTGGGCCTGCATATAGCATCCATTCAAAAATAGCTGCCCCCCTCCCCAATAGGAGGATTCTTGCTTGGAATCTTCCAACATTTTGTGATTGTCTCCATGGTATCCATTTTGGAACTGATCACCTGTGGTGGTGCCCCACTACCTTTCTAAAAATTCCCAAAGTGTCCACAGGCTCAATAAAGTTGGGTATCCAAGTGTAATACATAAAACAGTGTGTTGAACTTGAGCTGATGAGACCCGAGTTCAAATGTTCACTCAGGCTGACCTTACGGCAGCCAGTTTCTCCCATCATTAACCTCCCTTGCAGGGTGGTTGTGAAGATAAAATGGGATAACCCTCATTGAGCTCTTTAGAACAATAGCAAAATACGGATGTGATATAAGTAAGAATATTTCTCCAAAAGTTTGAATAATACCCTAATTCATTCATCTCCAGCTTCGATGATGCCTCCCCTAGATATGAAGTCTACTGCAGATGGCCTCATCCTTGGCAGCTACCATCTATAAAACACAAAAGCATGCAAACTATTTGCCTCCCATCACAGTAGTATGATTTCAGTCCCTTGAAAGACAGCTGTAAGCAACAGTCCCTGTCCTCAGCTGAGATTGCACCCAGTAGCCTTGCAAAGCACCTAGCAAAACGAGATGTGGGTTTCCACATAAATGCTGTCCAGAGGAGTGAAAATGTCTTTGTGAAGTCACTGTGACCATGTATGGTGACAAGAAGATTATGGGAACAGTAAGAGATTACAAGTAAAAATTCCTCTGTTTCGTCCTCCTTTTCCCCAGGAGAACCGGCAGGAAGACAGCAGGTACCTACATCCCCACCAGCCTCCGAGAACAGCAGTGCAGCCCACAGTATTGGCAGCACACAAAGCACCCCCTGTTCCAGTAGCAGCACAGCCTAACCAAAGGGGTGGGATGCAAGTCCAAGGAGCAGCATAGGAGCGCAGAGGTTCAAATGGAGCTGTTTGAGGTCACTTGCTTTGGAAGGACTGGTTTGGATTCTTTGGCAGGGATTTCCTTTGAGGTTTTTTTTTCCTTTTTCTGGATAAACACAGTCCTTGAACCTCTTGCAGCAAGCTAGACTCACACATGACAAAGCTACTATTTATGCGCAGCCGTGGGTTGTGTAAAAGGGTCCACTGGCTCTCAATGTGAAACACAAGCCAGTTTTCTTTTTCCATACGTGCTGCTTTGTCTCTGCAGAATCACAACATTGGCTTCCGAAACTGTCGGTGACACGAGGTGTCTGTAAAGGGATTTCAGCCTCATAAGCTGGGGGAAAGATTTATTCCCCCCCCCCTTTCCCTTAAATAAAGGGATTCCATCTCATCAGAACAGGAAAGTTTGATGGACAGAGCAACTTGCTTTTAAGATCACTGATTGTTCCTCAGCTACATGCTGTCATTTCACAGAAGCTTCTGTTTATTAGTGGTATTGGTGTTCGGCTTGACTTGGCGCGCAGCGTTTTGCCTGCTGTCATGTTGCCTGCAGCTTGGGATGTTTTGTTTTCCCCAAGTTTCGCCCTCTGGTAGCAAGAAGAATTGGGGGGGGGAAACATTCCTGTACAAAACAATGGATTTTAAATTGTTTGATTAGATGTTTCGAGTGACTCGTGTGTGCGCATTAATGCATCTAGGCATTCCTTGATGCAAGCCTCTTTGGATCCACAATGCCGTATATTATCCTAAGGCAGTTCCCAAATGTTTTGTTAATGGGAGCCAGCACTGCAGTCTTGTCTTTGTTCAAGAACATAATGGCTAGTTTGTCTTCTAAGCCTTTACACTACAGTGTGCATTACCTGCTACTGGTAGTTTCACAATTGACATATGAGGCACCAGTGGCCCCTTTCATCTGTGTGTGCAGTGCTGTCCCCAGGGTTTAAGGCCTAACTAGATGATCCTCTGGGAGTTCTGCATCAGGAGTTCCTGGAGTTGTTTTCCTCCCTCTCTCTTTTTTTAAAAAAGGCTCTTGCCAGGCGAGCAGGCCACTGATTTAGGCCAGGATTGGGGAGGGGGGGAGCCTTTCCCCTGCACCATGCTTCCAGTCTAAAACAACCTGGGATGCAGTATGCCCCACTGGGAAAACCTATATGTACTGGTATCAGTAAGCTTTTCCCACAAGGCAAATAGTGTCCTTCAAACCAATTTTAGCTTGTGAAAAAGGCACATCAGGCCGCTTTAAAAAAAACCCTCCCCTCACACCATGGTCCTGGTCTGAATCTGGTCCCCACATGTCTGCCAAGAAACATTTTTTAAAATGCTGAGATCTCCTCTTACAGAACTCCCAGAGTACCATCTATCAGGCCTTCAGTAAACAAGGGATACTCTGCCCACCCTCCTAACACACATCTGAGTACCATGTGCACGTGTAGAACTCTAAGATGAGGTAATTAAGAAGTTAGCTGTACTACAATGCCATATGTGCATGGTTATCATTATATGTATTTGTGGTTGTGTATTATTGGCCAGGTTTGAGCCTTTGGCACATCTGGATATACACAAAAGATGTAGAAATGGTCAAAAATACCAGAAGATTCAGGAAAGAAAATAGCTGCAAAGGCAGATCTGGGGTTTTGACCATGTACTTTGAACACTGTCAATTGGGGGTGAATGTTGTGTTGAGTCATAGTAATTTAGAAACACGTTCTTCTTAGTCAGTGCACCAAGCAAGGACTGCTTGTGAAATATGAGCATTTCCAGCACCCAGATGGGTCCACATTTGAGGCTGACCCATAACATAGATAAAGATATCCCCATCTTTTTTCATTTGGCAGATGATTTTAATAATTTAGCTTGAATTCCACTCCATACAAATGTGCTACATTATCAACAGCTAGCTTTTGTTATTTCAAGGACGTAGGTCAAGGCTGCGTTCTCTGTGCTTCCAGAATCTTCCCAAAGCTTTATGAAGATTTTGTTTTTAATGCTCCATAGGAGAAAGCTATCCAGCGGATTGTTTTTGTGTGACTCATATATAAGAATGAAAGGACTGCTTAAAAGACCCTCTGTGTTTCGCATCAAATTGCTAGTTAGTCATCTCAGCATTGCAATTGGATATATCCCAAAGTACTGTTTGGAATACAAAATGGCCACCCAGTACTAATTTTCAGAATAATCATTAGTACCCTTGCCTTCTCCAAGCCTTACCATATATCCCAAATGAAAACGGGGGTCCTGTTTGAAACAGCAGGTATATTGTGTTGTCACTTTGAGAACCAAAACATAGTTTTCTGATTCTGCCTTGCTGCAAGCAAAATGAGCAGAGCTTTCCCTTTGCAGGCTAGCAAAGGCTCTGTTCGTATTACCTTCAGTGGAGATTGCTCCCCTTCCCCCCTTTCTGTAGCAGAATAAGTTTAATTTTGCTAGAGCAACAAAAAGTTTGGTTTGCAGTAGGATTCTAATAAAATAAAATAAAGTCCATGTGCCCAATCAAGCTGAGTAACATCAGTTCAACCAGTGTTCCCCGTTTATATTAATATCAGTGGATAATCAGACTTCAAAATGCATTTAAGATCTGTCAGAGAATATGTGGTTTGGGCAGGAGAACAGAGTTGTGCCTTTAATTAGGTGCTTAAATATGGTTTGAATGTAGTCCTGTAAACACTTCCACACAAAGCTAACTTTGGGCCCAATTCCTTAGACTGGCTAGCTCAGCTCTAACTGTGCAAAGGATCCTGGGGAAGCGAAAGCGGAGGCAGGGGAATGTGAATGCGCCACATCATCCCCTTTTGTTCAAGGGGAGGCAGATTACTACAATCTGAGGCCAATCGCAAAGGCCCTTCTGCTGCTCTTGTAACAAGGCTGCAGATGGATCCAGCCAAGTTTGCTAATCCAGCAAGCCAGCCCTGTGTGCTCATACACTTTAAACAGTGATTAATTTGCTGCAAGCAGCAAAATCCAAAACAAAAGCCAAGTAATACCTTTTATTAGGACAACTCCAAATATCACAAGCAGTAGAGTCCAGTAGTACCTTAAAGACAGTGACTCACGAAAGTTCATACCCTGCCACAAATGTTGTTAGTCCTTAAAGTGCTACTGGACTCTTGCTCATTTCTACTGCTACAGACAGACTAACAGAGCTACCCATCTTGATCCAAATATCACAAAACAGTGTGCAAATTTTTGAGTTCTGCAGAATTTTCTTCCATCAGGTTAGATGCTGAGGGGACAGGTAAGGAGGAAGAAAGTGTCAGGTCTCAGTCTTCTTAAGGCCTCATTTGCATCCTGTGAAGAGTGTCAGGAAGATCTGAAAGGACAGTAGTTGTGGAGCTGGTATCAGATTGGATGGCAGCCTCCAGTTGTAACAATAAAAAAGTCCTGGTGGTTGACCAAATGTGTCTCTCTAACATCAAACGGAACAAAAGAGTCCCCTTAAAGGCCTGTGAGCAGAGAGAATATGTGCCAGTCATGGTGTTAAAAATACTGGCGATTAATTTTAGGTGATGCACTTTGTAAAGAGCCAATGGAAGCCTAATTAAGTAATACTACCTAGTGGAGTGGAACCCCCTAAGTTTGTTCTCGAGGCATTTCCCTCCAATTGAAGAATCCCTCTCTCTCGTTCACCTAAATTCAGGCATTTCCAAAACAGGACAGAGGTCTCACGTTGCCTCATTGGTTGTTTCATTCAGATAAACATTCCCCCTTGTTCACTGCCACAAAACAAATCACTGTTAAAGGCACAGCTGTAGATGCTGGTCCAAAAGTCATCAAAGAGTGTATTTCCCCTTGCTGATTTTCACTCCACACACACACACCCCGCACTGCATAGTCCACTGCACAGAATTTGTCCTAGCAAAGAGGAAAATGCTCAGATCTGTTTGCATTTGCTAGTGCAACAGCCAGCAGAGCTGAGAATCCTGGCAGATTTGGAATGTACCAAAATGTAACTGGGATTTATCGGGGTAGATTATTGCCCTTCTTAAGTGTTTGCAGGACTGGACTATTGAGTATTGAGAACCAATTTGCTGTTTGTATATTTAAAAGCAATGCGCTTTGCCTAACCTTCAGCTGAATGTATTTTGTAATCATATTCTGTGTATGAAAATCTTTTTTAAAATGTCTTCAAAGAAGACTAGAGTCTTTAAATCAATCATAGCTATATTTTACTACATTAAATGTGGGCATAAAGATATATAGAGATATATTTAAATATAAGTGCTTTATATAAGATGTTTAATTTCAGTTACTGTGAATTCTACAGTTTTGTACATTCTTTCTCTTCCCTGTTTTAACCCTTTCCCCTCAGATTTTTTAAAAAGTAGAGATCTCATAGGAAGTAGTAAAACTTGGTTTGGGAGCAGAAAGATTAACAATGTATGTAAAATAATTAAATGTATATTTTTGAGAGAAAAAGAGAGAGAGAAGCTGCATTCTTAGTATTTCTATCAGTAATTTTCTCTAAAACCTAGATTTATATATAAAGTCTCACCCCCCCCCCGAAAGTAATACTTAGAAATAGACAAGTGACATTTTCTAGGTTTATATTCAACATTAAATTTTAATTGATTGACCTTGATGCACTTGCTTTAGAATACTTCAAAATGCTCACTTTATTATATGCTAACTATGTTGTGTTTGTTTTATTAACAGCCTGAATTAATGGACAGTTCTTATTGGTTACCTAGATAGTGGAGCAAATGCATGATGCAATTCATGGCCCCCAAAATTACATTATCCTGTAAGTTCAAAAGGACAATGCATTCTTCTTTTTGGCTTAAAACACACACACCCCATCATATCCCTTGATAACAGAGTTGTACATGTACACAGGGCTCTAGTCGGGGGGGAGCTCTCAGGTACGGAGCTCCGGAAGAGAACCTCTAGGGGGCGGGGCGGTCACGTGGTGAAGCCCCGCCCCCTTCTTTACCCCGCCCTCTGCTTCGATCCTCATTCCGTTTGGGAATGAGGATGAAGCAGGAGGGTTAGTAGCCGGGCCTTCTGACACACTTCCGGTGATGTCAGGGGGTGTGGCATATGCAAATAAGTTATGCTAATGAGTTATGCTAATGAGCTCCAGCAGCTCTTTTTCTACAACAAGACCCCTGCATGTACATAAGAATTTCTTGCACACCCATGCACATGATGTCCCATTAACTAGGTGGATTGTCCAAAGCCTCATATGCATGCCACATGTGGATTGGATTCCATCACTGAAAATTAATGGGGAGGTCTTCTAGGTGAGAAATTTACACATGTACGTCAAAGCTTCTATGCCCGTAACTGGAGCAAGATAATAAGACTATAAACCTCAAGCCATTTAATCCTTAGTAAAGCTGTTGATCTTAATAGATCTATAAAGGCTTTGAGGATTGCAGTATTCAAGAACTAAGTATCTACTATATGACCCAGCCATGTAGAAGGAGAGGGAATTTCCTTGCAGACAGCTTTGCCACAAAGCTGAACAACGCCTTTTCCCATAGCCACTGAAAGCTGTATTTCTGCTGCAAGTGTAAGCTCTATATTTTGCTGTCATATTATTTACTGCAAGGGTTTTTAAAGCAAATTATGTGGTGTTGTGTACTTACTATATCACTTGATGTTGTATAGCATTTCTTGAGAACCTTATCTTGCCTCACTAACAAAGTGTAAAACCGTAGAAATTTTATACCGGAGTCTGCAAGTCCAGACCTTGAGCAGTGTTTGTGTGTCCAAATGGAAATTTCTTCTGCTCCTAGTTTGGCATTTCAGAAGGACTGCTAAAAGCTTTTTGGAAGGATAGAATGTCTACTGGGTCTTTTTATGCTTGTTGACATGTTCAGTGAATTCTAAAGATTGGTGAGGCATGACTTCCTTTTGCAGAAGCCGTGCAGATTCTGTCTCATCATCGCTTGAGCTTCTTCTATTTATCAAGTCCATCTTTAATAATAGTTTTAACAAGTTTACTGTGGACACTCATTAGGATGACAGATCTGTCGTTTCCTGAATTACCCCACCCCACCCTGGTTTCCTTTTAAAAAAAAATTGTGTTACATTGGCTGTCTTCCAGTCCTCTGGTAAGGAGGTTTGAAGAAATTGGATGTGTTTATTAACCAATAAGCGGCTTCACATTTGAGTCCTTTAAGGACTTTCAGGTGACTGTCGTGCAGCCCCAATGGTTTGTTAATTTGTAATTTCTCTCTTAGTTCTAAAATCTCATAATTTGTTACCTTTATCAGGCATTGTACTTCAGATGTGCTTCCCAAAAACAGTGGTTAAGATGTGTGTATCACTCCAGCATCTGCCACAGTGGAAAGTGGCAAATAGAATTCATTTATCCTCTCTGCAACTTTCCTGCCCTCCTATAGCTCTCCTTTCACAGCTTTTTCATCTAAAGATCCTGCTGCCTTTTGACCTGTTTTACTGTCCCTTGTGTATTTGAATAAATGTTGTTTGCTGTCTTGGTGGATGTAACAGCCAGCCTCTCAAATTCCTTCTTTGCTCCCCTTATCATCCACTTAACATTTACACAGTTTACCAACATTGAGGTTGTTGCCTTCACATCAGTGGAACTGCCAAGGTGGGGAATTGCTGGATTAAGGATTCAAAAGGAATTACTTCTCACTCTTAGACTTGTTTCTGAAACACGTACTTTGCTCGTAATAATCCATATATTATCTCAGCACTAGCTTTTGCCTTTTCAAATATTTTTTGCGTTGGGCAGCTTTCATTTTATTGTCACAAAAAGTCAGTGTCATGCCAAATGTTGTGTGTAAGCTGTTGTTTGAAAAGTAGATTGTTATGTTTGTTTTCGTTTGTTCCCTTCATTGTTTATGGCCATTGTGTGCCATGTTCGTATCTATGATATGTATCTACCTCATGCTTCAAAAGGAGACCCTACTGCTGATTGTAAGTGCAGTCTTGCAAGCACTATTGATGGACATCTGCTGTCCCTTCCAGGAGGACTTCTGTGGTGCTTCCACCCAAGGCCCATTGGAATGGATGGAGGGTGTGCAGCGGTGGTATTTGTGGGTTTGCACCCTGTGTGAGTAGAGTGCTTTCTGTGAGGCAACTGGTTCTGTTTTGTTTGTCACATTTGGGGTGTTCATCAAGAAACTGAATCACTATCTGGTGCCTGCCTGTTTCGAAATACAACACTTTTACATTTTTATTGATAAATAAATAAATTAGCCCAATATCCTAATATTTTACCAAAAACCCAGTGGGGGAAATATGCCCCTTTAAAATCCCTGTGGCCAGTTTGAACACCCCTTTTGTACATGTTTGTGTATTCTTTGTATAAATGATAAGTTGTACAGTTTTGATAACCACAAAGTGTCAAGTTATCTTGAGTCCTCTGTGCTTAATAAAAGTATATCAATTATTAATAAAATGTGGTGCTTGTTTTCTGAACTGTGAAAAGCTTTCAAGCACAGCAACATGTTACTCAATGGTAAGTTGTTTTCTAGAGAGGGTTTAGATGTTACGTAATGTGTTCAAATGACAATGAGAAAAGAGGCATAAATGCCTTTACTCACACTTTATTGAAACATTCAAAGAAGGGAATGGCATCTCTCTCCACAAGGGACATTAGCCTCTTCCTGCTTTGATCAGCAGCGCTTAGAATTGGGCTGCAACTGCTCTTCAATGGACACTTCACCACCACTCATGCAACGTGACATTCCCAACATGTTCCTTAATTTTCTAGTATTAGATTGTATGTTGTAGGGATGGGCACAAACTGGAAAATGAACTGTGGTTCAAGCACAAACCTGGCCAGTTCATGGTTTATTTCAAACTGGTTCGTTTGGTTGCATCATTCCCAAACCCAAAAATGAACCGTCTTTTTCCGTGGAGGTTTGGGTGGTTCGTTTTTGCGGTTCGTTCTCCAGACAGCCTTGCGCCAATTCAATCAGTTCCTAGGCAACTAGGTAGACTTGTGGAGAGCCCTAGAAACACCCAAAGCAGTTGTCCATAGCTTGAATGGCAGCTCTGGGAGCCAACCACGGAGCTCCCACTCTGCTCTATGGGAGCTGATTATATACCAGTATAATACCACACCCTCTGCAGTGTTGGATGGGAGATA